TCAATCACTTCAATGAAAAAATCCCATCAAGTTTTTTTGATTTCTTGAATTTCATAAATCATAACATGATAGTAAACAAATAATCGTTTTTTTTGGTTTTATATTTTCAATCATTTTGATTTTAAACTTAAGCTTTTAAACTTTTAAACTTTGTTAAACTTAAACATTTTGACAAACGGTCCAGGTTTGTACTACTTGATACCCTAAACTTTAGTTGATTAGTAAGTAAGGATCTTGTTGGCAAATACATATAGATATAAGTAAGGATCAGATCGATTTCAGTGTGGTTTATTGATAGAGCTTTTGCCCGGAAAGCAAGAGGTCACGGGTTCAAATCCCAGCGCTGACTTTGCTTTGGATTCCACTCCCCAGCTCTGTCTCCCCCTGATTGGAGCTCTTCAATTTTCTTATAGAAACTGTTTTTCTTGACCTGGGCTCAGATTTTGAATCTCTCTTGCTAATCTATTTTTCAAACCAATTGAACTTTTTATTTGCAAAGGATAAGCAATAGAATGTACAGCTTTATCTTCTCTGCAAAAAGGTCAAAATCCAGAATCGATCCGGTCAGAAACAGTCATTTTTTCCAGAAAATTTCTCGAAATTCTTTCCATTCAGTAGAAATGTGCCCAAGATAAGACGGCAGAAATACTCGTGTTAATTGATAGCCGCTTTTTCCCTTTTTTTGTGCTATGTTTGCAAATATTTGTGTTGAATTTTCCGTAAAACTTGATGAGCAGAAAGAAATTTAGAGCTGGCCAAGAAATTGGGCAATTTGAGACGAGAAGAAGACGAGGAAGAACAAATCGATCAAATCGATCAACTCTGCCTCTCAATCCCCTCAATGCTGGCCGAATGCGGTGGGGTTTTGTCAAAATGTAGATTCTGTAACTTAGAAATATTCAGCTAATTTGCAGTTACCCTAAAGTCGCGAGTATAAGTTCTGTTTGGTTTTCGCATGCAAATTGACGGCTGTCTCCGGTGCGGTGTGTCGAAGGTTCAAATCCCGCTGCAGCATAACTTTTTTGCTTTTTAAGAACAATAATAGAAGTAAATTTATTGAGGGTTATAGCAATTTTATGCTGTTATTTGTTGCTCCGGGCGTGGCTCGGCGCGTCCGCCCTGCTCCTCTCCGGTGCTCAGTCTTATGGATCCCTCCCTGGCCTCTTCATCCGGCCAAAGTCCACGTCGACGGTCGAAAGAGATGCTTTCCAGCGTCTTCTTCAACACTATCGTCTGGATGTATCCATGCACATAACAAATAGCAATGGTGATAGGCTGTCACCCTGTAGTATCCCGCGCTCCAAGAACAATAATAAAAGTTTATATAACAATAAAAATGTATAAAAACCCAACAAAAAGAAATTCAAAGCAATTAAAGCGAATGTAAATTAAGGCAGAACTTATACTCGGATGAACTTATACTCGAGACTTTAGGGTAGTTGAAACGTATCTTACTTAGAACAGGGTTATTTCAAAAGCAATTGTTTCGGTCTATGTTTTTGACCCTACCTGGCCTGGCTTTTCTGCAGGTTGGGTCACAAAATCTACTTAGGCAACCAGAAATCAAATCTGGACTGGCTTTTAGCTCCTAGGGCCCTGAGTGTTAGACAATTTTAATTAAATCCTCTTCAGATTGCCATTTCTCTCAATTTTCGTTCTATTGGCCGCACCGGTAGTGTTGGGCTCATCAATGATAACAACCGAAAAAGAAATAACATCAACAACAGCAACAACTACTACTACTACCACAACTCAAAGCTTTACCTCTACCTCTATTGATTCGAATCAAGGTTTGAATCAGTTTTTAGCAAGCCTGTAATCATTTCTTATTCAAAAATAATCTTCAGATTCGTCAACAACTGCCTGTGTTCCCACCGATTTCTACTATTCGGCAATCTCATTTTATTGTACAATTTGCTTCAAGATGACGACAATGGTGCTCAATAATTATTCTATTGTAAGTGAAAGAATGAAAGCTCTTGTAGCTAGAAGAATGAATGGAGATTTTCTTTTTCGTTTTCTATTTGAAAAGAAATCTATTAACGAAAACTATTGTAATCAAACCGTTCATTTACATCCGATTTTGACGATTTTGACAATTTTGACGTCATTCAATGATCATCTTCAACCAAAATACCAATTTAGACGGATGCTTCCACGTATTTTAAAACGGTTTATTGCCCCAAAGTGGGACTTTTCAAGAAAAGATGCCTTAAAGCAGTTCAAAGTTTACTCGATCCATTGAGGACACAACTTGCGCCTGAATGTGAAGTACGTTTTGAATGAAATGAAAATTTGGATTTAAAAGTTTTCAGGGAGAATCCGTAGAAACGACGGTCTCATTTTTTTGCCAAAATGTTGTTGGAATGTGCTATTTGCAAGATAATTCTTATGATTGTCCCTCATATGTGCTGGGGATTCCAAATCTGAAAGATCAGGTTGATGAAATATTTATAAAAGTAAAGAAAAAGATTTAGATAGTGCAGCGACAACACGATGAACTGTAGACAACGATATCTTTATCACCTTTTCTAGAATTGCTCCACTTTTTAGAAGACATTATGATTTAGGTACAGTAGTTTTTGTTGTCTTTTGCCTACAATATGCTTGAATTGAGTACTTTTTAAATATCCTATTTCAGTCCGCCAAGGTTGACCCGTTTGACTGACTGGATAGTAAAGGCTTTTGAAAATATTCGGCTTAACGATCAAAGCATACTGTGGGCTGAAGTGTAATTGTACTGTAGCTATGCTGGATGCTAAAGAGACAAAGGCATACGGTAGATAAACGACTGCTGTACTCTAAAGGGTGTCTCAAAATTATTGCAACAATTATTCTTGCTTGTCTTTCTCTCTCGTTGCCCCAATTGAAATGATTTTTGTATCAATCAACAGAAGAAAACATGACGAATCTAATGATACCTAAACTATTTCAATCGGACGACTGAGCGTCAAGATATTTGAGTTTAAAGTATTTGAGTTTTAGACTGTCAATGGAAGAAAAAGCGAGCGATCTTTCTAAGCCTAATGTAAAAATTGTTGTCTCAAGATTTGGCTACAATACTTTAGACAAGCAACAGAAAATCTTTCATTCTAAAACGTGGACAATTTATATATGAACATTTCCTCTTTTTCTGGGAGTGGGACAAATGCGACCTTTTTTTTGCGCACCCGGACATTTGCGCACCTTTTTTTCCGCACCTTGCCCATTAGCGCACCTTTTTTCGCGTTTTAAAAAAGCTCTAAAAAGCTAATATTAACCAATTTCTATTCCAAATATTGTTTTTCTAGGTAATTTTAGGGCGTAGAATCGAAATTTTGGCATATCAGAGCGTGTGGAACCAATTTGAAAGACAAAACGGCTAGGTCAAATTACAGAAAATTGTCGATTTTTCTCTTTGTATATCGTATCTTTGTTTCTCCGTCCGTTTGTTTCCACAAGCTCTGATCTGTCAAAATTTCGATTCTACGCCCTAAAATTACCTAGAAAAACAACTTTTGGAATGGAAATTGGTTAATATTAGCTTTTTAGAGCTTTTTTAAAAGCGCGAAAAAAGGTGCGCTAATGGGCAAGGTGCGGAAAAAAAGGTGCGCAAATGTCCAGGTGCGCAAAAAAAGGTCGCATTTGTCCCACTTCCCTTTTTCTTTTCTTCTTGGTCTCATTTCTGCCTCACTCATTCCTCGATCTCATCTCATTTTTTCTGCTTTTCACAGGGTTTTCTAATAAAATTAAAGAGTTCTTTTATAAATAAATGATATTTTTTACAAAAAAAAGCCTCTCTACCCGGAACCAAAATATAAACATGTTCAAATGGAAATAACAAAAGAAAAGAAAAATTCATTCACACATAGATAAAGACTCTAATAGACTGGGGTTCTCATTCGCAAATCTGTTCCTCCAGAAAAAGATTAGCATTCCAAATCTTCCCGGGAAATGAATTTGAAATCGAATCTTTTCTTCTTGATTGTTCTATTTATTTTGGCCATAATTCCACTCAACGAAGCTTATCCGAGGTGATTTGGAATGTAGCATAAATCCCGAGAAAAAGATACATAGACTCAATAAAATGAATAGCTCCAATCGATTCCCTGACCCCGAAAACCTGGGGTACAAGTTTACAGCTGAATATTTTTTTTGTAGCATCTACAAATCTCTATAGAACAATCTCTATGTAAATAGAGGAAAAGAGCAGTGAACGACCGAGCCGACCCTGTCCCTTTTGACGTCACTATGCCCAAACTGGACGAATTTCCGCTTCAAATTCGCGACTTGGCGCCTGGACACTCCCGGACGGACGAGAGCCAAACCCTGCGAAAATTCCCTGCCCCAAATTTGGCTGTATTCCCGCAACAAATTCTACATCCCCGTTAAACCATTGTGCTAGTTAAACTGTGAATAATGCGGTCCGATCCGAGCGCCATGTTTCCTAATTTTTTTAGGATCAGTCCAATGAAATTCTTAATCAAAAACTCAAAACTCATTCAGATCAACTCGCGGCCGTGTCTTCTCAAAATACACTCGACACTGTCTTTTCACTCATTTCAATTGTTTTCGCTCGGTGAATGCAAATTTGAAGTGATTGTGATTGCGTTGTTTTGTTGTTGAGTTGATTGTTGAGTTGTGATTGCGTGCGGAAAGAGATTTATCATGTTATTTGAATTTCCATTAAAACGAAGAAGCGTCTAGAATTTTCAGTCAGTCCCTAAACTTTCAAAGGTGGCGAAAATCTGGAATAGAAAACTATTCGAAGTGAGTGTGCGTAATAAAAAATGGGGAAAAGGGCCGCACCCAAGGAGTTGTAAGGAGGGGAAAGAGAGGGGTCTTTCTACTCATTCACTCACACAACACGTTTTAATGAGTATTTGATAACGAGTGAAAATGGCCGAATTGAATCGACTTCAAACGATCTTTTTTCCTTTTTTTTGGGAAAGAAGAGACTTCTCTTTTCCTTTTCTGATTCTCACATCATTCTTTGAAAAGAATCGACTCTGGATCCATCAATGAAGGGATTTCTTCTCGTTTTTGCCCTCGGTTGGTTGATTATCGAATTTGAATAACTTTTTTTCAAAATGGTTACTGTAAAATACTTGTAAAAAACTTGAAATTTTGTTAGTTTGAAATTTCTATGGTACATAATACTATAAAAAGCTTACTGTAGAATTTTGTTTAGTCTAGGTATAAACGGAAAACTTTATTCGGCGGTAAAGTTAGTGTAGCCTCTGTGAATCTTACTGTATCGGGACTTTAAAAAAATCTTTGCATTACTTACAGTAAGGCATCTTTACGTCGTACACCATTTTACAAAACAATTTGAGTGGGTACCTCGTTGACTCAAAACCCTCCACCGAGTCAATGCTACACGTCTGATCTCGCGGCCGCCACCGCAGTTTTGGCGCAAAGAATCGGTCTCCAAAACACAACTGTAAGCTGGTTAAATTCAAAACTTCAAAACTGAATCAACAACTCTTTTAGGGAATCTGGAAAGACTACACGATTCTCAACTATTTCCTCCTTGATCAATGGGGGCAAAACCCCGGATCGACACAGAATATTCTCAACTGTTGCAAGTTTGAACATTTGGACGCGTTTTGTCGAAAAAATCCTTTAGTGCATTGGATGTTTTCTATGGAATGTTGTATCCAAAGGGGAATTACTATTGCTTCTCTCTTAAAAATCTTCTTTATACGGTAACTGAACAGAGAATTGCTTAAGGTTCACATTGGAGTTTGAGATTACGGCCTTAGCCTTCCTAAGCCACCTTTGAAATTTTTAAAATTAAGATATTTAAGAGAGTCACTTAAAATGTACGCTTGTGAATTTCAGGGAGCCGATCCAACTTCAGCCTTCAGTATCTCGGGCACATTCGAGCAATACTCGTTCAATTGTGGAGCCGGATTGACAAGTTTTTGAGAAAAAAAGGCAGCCAGTTTGTGAAGTTTTTAGCTCTTCTCCATGAGAATCTTCCATGTGTGCAAAGAGTGGTGGCTGGATATCAGAATACGTTGAAGAATTGCCTCACCTCGTTCACTCTCAATGTACTCCATGATCCAATCAACCAGTGCCAGTAAGTGACTTGAAAATTTTTTTAAAATTTCCCAACAATATATCTAAAGGGAAAATCTATTTCCAAATTTCCCAACGGGCAAATCCACTTGCAGATACCTGACTCAATGGGAGAACTGCTTCTCGGCGCCATTCAACACCTCTATTTGTCGATCAACAGCCTCTGCCGATACTTGGTGGGCGTGTGAGAGCGCGCGGCGTTTCGGAATCAATCGAGCAATCAATTGTGTCAACTCGTGTGATTGTTCGTCGTTTATTGGAAATTTTCAAAAAAATCTTTTAGATGTGACAGGACCCCCGAGAGCAGCCGAGTATTTGGCTGAACATCACAAGGTAGTGAATTGATCAAGTAATCAGTCTAGTTAAAATAGTAGACTTTGAATACGAAGATAGACTTCGCACGGTTAGGCTCACTTTGAATACGAATTCAATTCTTGGACCTAAAAAACAATATGACCCAATGTTCAAGATAGAATCACAATACGCATCTCACTACAGTATTCTGCACTGAAAACTGGCTCTTCTTCAAGTTCTCCAAAAAGATTTTCAACCTTGACCACTGGATACTTTTTATGCAGCATACTGTAGTGAGACAAGAAATAGAGACTTTACAGTACCATTTAATCATTGGTCTAAAGTTAATTAGCTAAACAAAAACTGGGTTCCAGATCAACATTATCTCTTTCAAACAAAAATCAATTCAGATTGATGAGACCGGCACTCATCTGTTTAAGATTCCCGACTACTGGGATATGGTTGATGGAGTGGTAAGGGCGGAAACGATTTGAAACCACTGATACGCTCAAAACATTTAGAAAACGCTGGTGAAAGGAGCTTGGATGAAGGATTAACAAATTTACACGCATCACTCAAAAATTGCTGATTGCTGATCGTTCCAAAAATAAATTTTTCTCTCCATCACACGCACACAGTTAACAACTTTTGTACTGCCTATTAACATTGTGACAAGAGCCAAAGAATAGCTAAAGAGAACAATTTACATTTAAAAAATTGAATACAAAAATTTACATATCAATCGAGACTTAGAAAAGTGAAACAAAATTTTTTTCATTTCTCTTCCATTCACTTCATTGATCGTTTGGACGCTTGTAGAGGTGAATATTTTTGAGTTGTAAATGTTCTAGATTTTAATTTTGTTTCGTCTTTTTAAATCAACAACTTGTATATGTCGTAGCCGATTATGAATTTCAGCCGATTATGAATGAGCAGGTCCGGACGCGTCCAACCATCAAGTATTTGGTATCATTCAACGCAGAATCATTAATAATTATGTTAAATTTTTAAAATTAGAAAGATTGGATAAAAAGAAAAAAAAATTATGGGGCCTCAAAGTTTCCTCTTGAACAAACAGTTTTTTTGCTCTAATTTTTTTTCTTTTTATCAAATCTTTCTAATTTTAAAAATTTAACATAGTTATTAATGATTCTGCGTTGAATGATACCAAATACTTGATGGTTGGACGCGTCCGGACCCGCTCATTCATAATCGGCTGAAATTCATAATCGGCTACTGGGGCCCCGCCGATTTTGAATGAAACGTTGTAGCGCCGGTAATTTTTAACCTAAACTCACAAATTTGGTACCAATCGACGCAGAATTGAATTCGCTACAGGATGATATAATATTGTCCTCATACATTAAAGGGTTGCTCTACTAGAAAGATTTACCAAAAAATTTCATTCATAATCGGCTACGACATATATTTTTAGAAATGGCCACCAATGTTACATTGTTAAAAGAAGAGCCCTTGGGAGATCAAGCCAAAGAACAATTGGAAACTCTTGAGGTTTTTTTCATTCTTATATTTTAAGCTTTCATTTTCTTTAGGTCGAGCCTACCGCTAAGCAACTTGACATGACACGCTTCAGGGTGAAGAAAATCGAGGGACTCGAGTTCTTGGAACAGGTTTCTTGAGTTGAAATTTTTTAAATTAAAAATCTTCTTTAGTTGGAGTATTTGTGCCTCCGTTGGAATTTGATCAAACGCATCGAGAATCTACACATGCTCACCACTCTCACCGAACTCGACCTATACGACAATCAAGTAAGCATTGCTTGTTTTATTAAAACTTATTTATTAAACTTTAACGTAAATTTTTATTTAGATTGAAAAGATCGAGGGACTTGAGACTTTGGTCAATCTGCATACTCTGGATTTGTCTTTCAATCGGATTCAAAAAATTGAAGGTTTGTAGTATTAATGTCTTTTCATATTAGATAATGATAAGGTTTTTGTTTTAGGTCTCAAGACTTTGGTCAATCTCCACACTCTTTACCTTGTTCACAACAAACTATCAAAGATTGAAGGTCTTGAAAATGTAAGTTTTGCTTTTTTTATTAAGTTATCAGCTTTTTTAGTTGGAAGCACTTGAGTACCTTGAATTGGGAGACAATCGCATTAAAAAGATCGAGAATCTCGACAACAATGTCAACATTCGGCGTCTCTTCCTTGGCGCTAATCAGATTCGAAAGGTTATCATTGCTCAGCTAAATCTGTAGCTTTTTGTTTAGGTTGAGAACATTGGCCAATTACAAAAGCTTGACGTGCTTTCAATGCCTGCAAATATCATTTTAAAGATTGAGGTGAAGCTAAAGATTTAAAAAGGTTCATAAATTTTTTTAAGGGTTTGGACGAGCTTCCTCATTTGAAAGAGCTTTACTTCTCGCAAAACGGCATTCAGTGCATCGAAGGTCTCGAAAAGCTTCAAGATCTCGAGATTCTTGATCTCAATCATAACAGGTAGGGGTTTTTACAGCTGCAGTTGTGCAAAATGATTGTTTAGGCTCAAAGAAGCTCGAGGATTTGCTCATCTCCAAAAACTTACCGACTTCTGGGCAAAGATGAACAAGGTTTCTTTATTATCGTATTTAGTTTTTATTCGTGCTTTTAGCTTGAAGATTGGTCGGTTGTGGATGAAGAGTTGGTGCATTTGCCAAACCTCCGCCTCGTTTACCTCGAAGAAAATCCATTCTCCAAAGATAAAGTCAGCAATTTTGCCATGCATAATATAACCATTACTTTTTAGAATTACCGTGCTCGTGCCATTCAATCTCTTTCTACAATCACTCGACTCGATTCGGACTTTTGTCGCAAGTACGTCTCAGTTTTTATTTTAATATTTGTTTCTTATGCCTGTTTAAACTCTTGATATTTAGGGAATCGGATGTCGTCAAGATTTAGACCGATCGACGGATTTCAATGAACTTACAAGGCCTAAAGTAAATTTCTTTACTGGACGCATGTGCTTTCTTTTCTAAAAAATTTTAAGGTCTGTAATAATAAATTGTTCAAATGAATTTTTTCACGTTAAAATGCCCTAAGTAGGACAATTAATGAGTCAATTGTCGAACATAATGACATCAAAGAAACTCCAGCTCTTAAAAGTGAGCAAAAACTTTTGGAATTACGTCTTATTCTGTGGGCCATTCATGAAGAAATTTTAATCAATCCAAGTCTCATACTGGGCACATATAACAGGACGGGAGAACAGTTCCTTGAAAGCTATCACCGTGCAAATCGATGATTCCTCTTTGACTGATTGACGATAAAATTCGTTTTTGAAAGAGAATTCACATTATAAAATGAAAATCCAAAGGGGTTCGCATGGAGTAACACGATTTCGATGCTTCCACTTTCCATGCCAAGAAAAATCCGATCAGTGCGTTTATTGAAAGAAACTTGAGTCAAGCGAATGAAATTCTGCAACAATTCGATCAGCTCACTTGCTACACGCTTTTTGTTTCCTATTTTTCTCTAATATATTTACACCATCGGAAAGTGCATGGATTCAAGAATGTTTGGAGAAACGAGTGGCAAATTCTCCATTTTTTGGTTTCGATAACTCTCTAGGAATTTACTACCAAACATTGAAAAGAATCAATTTTGAAGTATTCGCTCGATGCAACACGATTTTCAAAGTTTCGTTGAAACAGTGCAATTGATGGTTTAATTCGGAATCCCAAGTCAATGAAGATGTGAAAATGATATCAGTTCTAGTTAATTTTTGCAATTTTCTATTTTAATCCGTTTGAGCGATAAGAAAGTCTCAAAAAATTAATGTTTCAAATTTTACAGGTAGCCTTCCTAGAGAAATTTGACGCAAAAGAAAATGTGAACGACTGCTTCGAGCAAGTGAACAGTCGATTCGTTGTGGCGCTCTTCGAAAAGCACCTAACAGAAACTAAAATGAATTGCTAATTTGGATTGCTTGTTTGCGGTTCTTCTTTGTTCTTTTGTGCAATTAATATCAAATATCCCCTTGAAGTGATGAGATTTACAGACTTTCTGGTAGCGTATCAGTCAGCAAGGTTATTGGTAATGCTATAAATTGTTTGGTTAAATCCTTTCACGCTAAAATGTTCTACATGGTATGTTAGAATGTGTAATATTAAATTTTTGCAGATGCAACATTTATTGGAATTGTCGATGGACATTGTATGGATTGGGCGGAGACTGCAAAGAAAAAGAAAAACAAGTTTTTCCTCACAGTCTCCGCCCGGAGATGGTAATCATAAAGAAATGGGGCACCCAAGGTGGCTGCAAAATTGAGGGCCAAGCTAAAATAGGATCATGGAAAACAGTGAAAAGGGCAATGTGGACAGGATTTGGCTGTAGTTTAAGTGAAAAGTTGTATGAGTGGGATGGATTTAAATCCACCGCGCATCCGTCATCATCCAGTTTCCCGACGAGTCCTAATTGATTGATAGTTTATGTTATTAGACTCTTCTTTACCATATCCCAATGAGCCGGCAGAAGGAACTCCTTTTCGCCGTCAGCTCCATCGCGAATCATATGAGAGAAGTCTCGAGCAGCCGACGTGGCTTCTACACTCATAGTCATTATTTCTTTCTATACATGGCCCTTTTGTAGAAAATGAGTCAGTCTCACGTTTTAGCAAACAGCTCTTGTTTTCTAAAGCTCGAAATAGCATTGTATCCACACTTTAGAAGCTGCTTGCTGTTTGCAAACGAGCTGTTTGCTAAAACGTGGAACTGACTCGTTTTCTACAAAAAGTCCACGTCTATTTCTTTCAATTCAACTCGGAAACCAACTTGGACACGTGATCACATGCTGGCAATGGGTGAATTGAGAGAAGACATAGTTTCGTGTCATCTCACACGAATACCATTGAGCGTGACCCTGAAGAATTTATCTGTATTTTTCTTTTTTTCTTTACTTGGTATGGAAGGCACGGTCCAGCGCTGTAGATCCCCGAGATTCCATTCACCAAGCTTTGTCCATATCTGAAAAATCGTCAAAATTTCTTGGAGGCTAATCTTTGACTCACGTGCAAGCACTGTTCGGATCATGGGTGACGTTGAGTTCGTAGGATCGATAGAATTGCTGAATCTGCGCGTCATAGTTGACAGTGACTCTTTGAAGGCACGAGGTCACATTCGGGTTACCGGCGAGCGCTGAAATTGGGTTGATTGGCGTGCTTTGGAGATTTGCAACAAACAATTGAATCCGGGTCCACATTGGAAAAGAAGTGACGAGATCATTCCGTCGAAAGCGAAAGCGGTTGCCGGAGATCGTCCCCTTCCCACCCATCCAATCGGCCCCAAACAAGCGTTCAGATTTCTCCGCGCCAAGCATTGATAGAAAAGGGCAAGTCCGCTGAAATTGGGTATTTGGTGCCCGGTTTTAAACTTTTAAATTTACTTGCAAACTTTGACGAGATTGCTCAACTCGTATGGGGCCAAGAAGCGCTGATTGATCGTTTCAGCGAATAGAGACGGCGTTTCCCAGATAGCATTTGGACTGCAAGTGATTTCCAGGATAAATTTTAATCTCTTACACTTACTCAGCTCCCCAAAAGTCCCCTAGACCAACAGTGCAAGCCTGGAAACGAATTCCATCACAAGTGTCCGGTTGGCCTTGTTGAGCATAGATTACACCAAAAAGGGCTATAATGATTAAAATACAAAAAATATCAATATTAAAATCAAACCTGCAATTCCTAAAATAGCTCTCATCATCGATCGAGCCAAGAAAAATTAGGAAAGACTTTTTGGCCAATAAAAGCCTTCTCTCTTTGTCCCTCTTGTATTCATTCAAACCCCCCATTTTTCCAGTTATCAACAAGTCGCAAAAATTTAATGACCTTGCGGCGCTCTCCACGTTTTACGCGTACACACCCATTTTCCCTTCCTACTCATCGAATGATGTGTGAAGAAAAAACAGAACATTTATTCGTTTATGCATTCATAGTAAGCTTTCTGATCAAATAGACGGCAAATATACGAGATTCTAGATGAGACCAAAGAAAACGAAACGAAGTTTTTTCAAGGAAAATAATTCTAGGTGGGATGATTGTGGTTAAAAGGGCGGCGAGTGAAGATCCTCGTTTAACGATCGGCACTCTTCATGTTGTCCGCCGCCTCCTCGGTCTTCATGCGATCTAAAGTTGGTATTTACTTAATAGTACTTATTTATTGACATGAACTTTAATAAAAAGCATAGTAAATAAACGTTAAAGTAATACCTGGTGCTTGATCAAGTGTGTCTTCTTCTGCGCAACCCTCCTCATAGTTATTCACGCTGGTCTCAGTGAACACTGACTCGTCAACATCTCTGTTCGTATCGTTGTCTCCTCCCTATAAATGGAATTTACCAGTGCAAACCATATTAGCCTACCCTATCTTTTTCAGCAGCATCCTTGATAGACAAGTCCAGCTTATCCTTGCTTTGCTTTTTCTCGTTTTTGCTGATTTTGTCCCAATCGTAGTCATCAGTCCTAAAAATTCAAATAAGAAAAAATTGTGAGTACAAACATTTTCACGTTTAGATCCTTGATGTTTTTGGCAAGAGCAGTCCGAATCTTTTCGTATGGAGGAGTGTCAGTATAGTTGAGTTTCTTCAACATTGAAATCCATTCAGCAAATGAGCTTGGGCAGTCCTAAATGGGATGTTTTCTTTGAAATAAAATTTTCTCTAACCTTCATCAAAACAGCGTCGGAAGTTCTTTGCTTACATTTTGCAGAATCAACTCGTGCCAATCCTTTCCATGGAAGTGTTCCAGTCTACAGAATGAACAAGTCAAGATGAGTTTATCGAAAGTAAACCGTTGTTTCGATCATTGTGTAGAGGAGTCCATAAAGATCATCGTGACGTCCCTGTTCTTTTCCCGCATGCACATTCACCGAGCAGTAACGAACGGTGCCACGAAAAGATACCTAAACAAATAATATTCTTAAAAGCTCAAAAAATCTCACCAACCCTGGCCCTTGGCTCGCGAAGCCTCAAACGACCAACTTTGTCAGGCAACATAATTTGGCGACATAATCCGAAATCAAACAGAACAAGGATTTTCTTAAATTAAATTAAGTTGCGAAAATCAAAAATGTACACCTTATTCTTTATGCCAATCGCAAAATTGCACGGTTTTACATCACCTAAAATTTATTTCCATTTAACCTCATATTTCCGCATAAAAAATATCCTTGTTCGGATTTTTTCAAGCAAAACATACGATGAACAAAGCCGGTTTTATGTAAGTCTTCAAGTGCCTATAACAATGAGATTAGGAATCCCACGAGCCAAGTTAACTTCAACAAACCTGAACTCCTTGGAGTGAAAGACGAAGAGTCGTGCCATGTGATACCTTTCTTCCGGGACATTTGCGACGATTGTCCACAAGATCTTTACCCAACAGCGACATGATCATGTAACTAAAATTTTTCATGAAAGAGAAAGATTGGGTTGGTGAATTGAAAACTGCGGGCTATTGTCATATGTAACAGTTTGAGCACTTTCTTCACAAGAAACCCATTTTGGTGTCAATGGAAAAGTTGTAGAGAATCAAAAATGAAGCTTATATCCAAATTTTCAGAACAATTCAAAAGCTGGTTTTCAAGAAATACCAAATTTACGAATTTTCACAAAACTTGCATTTTAAGCGAAACTACTAAGTGTATCTTTTTGGAAATTTGGCTATAAGCCTAATTTTTGATTCTCTACAACTTTTCTATTGACATCAAAATGGGTTTCTTTTGAAGAAAGTGCTCAAACTGGGACATCTCCAGTCCTCGATTTTTGAGTCTCACACTTGTCTCACACACAAACCAAAATCCTACTACGAAAGAGGAATCCGCAAATTGCCTGTCAAATGGGCAGAAGTCGTCAATAATAATGGAAATTATTTCGAATGAATTTATGGTTTTATGTCGAATAAATTTTAGTTCTAAGTCCCGCAGTTTTCAATTCACCAACCTAATAGATAACTTTTTACCTGTAATTTCCTTGGGTTCCCGATGCGATGAATTTCGAAATGTGCTTGCTGAATTGCATCTTCTTTAGCACGTACATCTAAAAGAGAAGTTATTTCTATATACGCAAGTTTCTATATTTCTATTTTATATATGTACGCATAAAAGAATGACCTCCATCCTCAGAATTTCCTCGTCTTTCGATTTCTGATGAGGCTCAACTTTCATTGCGTAACGACTCTAAACAATAATTTTGTAAAAGCAATTTCTTTAGCAAAGGTGTTACAAGATAAAACCCTCACCGGATTTCCCTGTATCGTTTCCACCAACCATACCGAACCACAGCTCCCTTCGCCTAACTTCTTGCGCACAATGAAACTTAAAAGAAGCGATGATACAATAAAACAAAAATTAAGCCACGAATTTGAGCTTGAGATAGCAATCAGAACTTAATTTTTACTTAAAACTGATGAATTTTCTTCAAATTTAAAAACGTGGCCTTGGTAAAATTTAATGAAAATCTACCTTCCGGTCACTTTGTCTCCGATGTTGATATTTGCTACTGGGTCCTTTGTCGTCATTTGATCGAATAACCAAAAAAACAAATTCAAAGTAGCGATCCGAAAGCGGGGACGAGAAGAAAATGATTTTATTTTTGCGGAAAGCGCCGACAATTGGCTTGTATGCAAATTTTGGAAAGAGGACATTTATTCAAATTTTCTTGTTAAATGCAAATTTCTTAGACGTTGCTGTTTTTCATTCTCTCCTCGTACTTCACGTATCGCTCGGAGTTGACGATTTTCATCCCGGGTAGGCCATAGTTTTGCCTCACTGAAAGCCTTATTGAGTGCTTGGTTATTGGCTAACTGACCCTGGCAAGCGTCCTTGCATCCCGGGTAGCTGTTGACAGCCTGAATACGGAAAGACTCACATCCATAGTACCTGCAACAGTTGGTAATTTTTTAAATTTGTTATCTTTGAGTTTTAATTGTTACTTCACTTGACTCACATGATCTCATCGTGGCAAAATCGGAAGGCATTCTCGTAACAAGATAATCCGGTCTTGAAGTACTCGCAAGTCTGAAGGGAGCTATGTTAGCTTAAGCTTTAATCATTTTATTCACCCTATCCGGATTTCCTCGTGAATTGATGAAGAAAGTGTTGACACAACCCGTGAGCGTCGAATTCTGATTTTGGTACGCCGATTGCACACACGCCCAGTTGTCGATAGCGGCTGGAAGAGGTACAGATACAAGCGCATATCAAAATCAAAGCAAAAAAGCAAAAATATCGGGAGCGAACTTCTCGTAAACGCACTTTTCCTACAATTATGACCCGAATACGGTTTCTTTTTGAATGATCAACAGTAGTACAACAGTTGCAATGCAAGTGAAATTAGAGGAGCACTGATAATCATTTTTATCATCTAAACTAAACGATAGCTATCCATAACGATTCAAATGGTTTCTAATGATTACTTGAAGGTATGGGTAGGTTGTGATGTCGCTTTAGGACTGATGCTATTACCTTTAAGGACGGCTACCAGTACGAATCGATAAGGGATGGGTAGGGACACTGACTCTCCATACATGTGTCCGATAGTTCGGTTTGACATCAGTTTTTGATCACTGGTATACCGTATTTTCCCTCATAGTAGTGTATTCCGTCGAGCCGAGTTGATGAGTTGATGACTTTACAGTTTCCACGTTTTCACAAGAAGCTCAACACTCAAATCCCCCACAAGATCTCATCGTCAGCTACATTTTCCGACCCCATATCGATAGGTTCTGATAAGCGGTTTTCGAGATTTCGAGTAATTTAGGCAAAGCTTAGAGTGCAGTGCAGGGAAAATACAGTAATCTATTACTTACGATAGAAACCGGCTCCACATTGGTATGAGACTTGCGCCATCACACCCACATATTGTTGAGCGTCAAGAGGGGAAACGACAGTGTTGTTGATCGTGAGAAGCCTGGAAATTCTTCTTCTTCGTCAATAATTTTAAAGTTTAACGAACCAAATAGGATCAAAACACTCTCGATAAGTGAAGCCATCATTGTAGAGACAAAACATGAAAAGATTGTAGGCACTGAAGATAGTTTTCTTTTTTTATTTCTGCTTAACTTACTTGCACACGCCGACCAATCCCTGTTTCCCGTTCAAACCGTTAATGTAAGCATTCTAAAAAAATAGAAAATTGCTAATTTTCTTTACTTTTATCATACTTGAATAGCGGTTTGTAGTTGAAGGGGTTTCGTCCAATCAAGGGTCACATTTACACCGATATCTTTCGCAAAAGCTTGCTGGCACATGTCAAATTTGACTGCATCACAAACGGCCTCCGCACCGCCTAAAAAGCATACAATTTATATCTGAATTGCAATAAATTCGGTCAACAAGAAACATCTTGTTAAACTTTCTCTAATACTTTTAATACTTAACTAGCGCATTAAGTGAACTTTAAGACTTAAGATTAAGAATTTCTTGAACAGAATGTATACTCTTTCTTTTTTCCTTTCTCTTCCCCCTTGTGTTTCTTCTTTTTCTGACAAGAAGATAGCTCAGTGTTTAGAGCGTCTACTCGGAAAATAAAAAGTTCGAGGGTTCAATCCCCTCTCCGGAAATATTTCTTTTCCATTCCTTACTTTACTTTAGTACTATAGTCTAGGATAGTACCATAATCGAGCTTCTAATAAAAAAGCTATCCAGAACTTTGAAGCATCTTGACAATAACAAGTACAAGCTAAAACAAAAACAGTTTGAGGGCATACTGTGACTAGATAAAAAAGGCTACAGCTACCGTATAGCAGCTAGTAGTTGGCGTACAGCTACCGTACAGCAGCTGGCGTACAAGCGCTTTGCTGAGCCTAAGCCAATATGCCGATATTAGATTGATTGTCTTTAATTTTTGTATGCAAATTTCTTAGAACCCACCAAAAATAGCGGCCAGAAGGAGTACTGTGGTGAGGAGCATCGAGCCGAGAATTGATGGGCAATAAATTCTCAATTCTTTCCTTTTTCAGAAAAAGAGAAGGGGGACCACGTCAGGGTTTTCTTTTTCTTTAGTCTCTTCACCAAATCCCTTATCATAGCCACGACTTCTGTGTGTAAGAAAGGAGGGGAGTAGTGGGGTGGAATCCTCGAGTATCCCAACAGATGCGTACACTCTCACCGGATTTTCCCCCAAGATTTTCTAGAAAATCGATAGCAAAATTGTTGATCAAGATCAAGCTGTATAAAAACGTGTAAGCCTCAGCTTTAGACTGTGTTCCTTTTGCTTAAGACATTCTCTAAAATGTGAATTTGTAAAAGGTTACCGTACTCAGGGCGACGAGTCACTTTCTGCATTTTAACACAAAATGCTTCTGTTTTCAAAAATGTGAAAGAAATTCACAAACAATAGTTTTGCTAAAAAGCAGAAAGTTCCTCGTTGTTCATGTCTACCGGGAAAAACCGACGGTAAACTAAAAATAAGAGCATTAATCAAAAGACTATACAAAAGCAGCATTAACCAAAAGACTTCGTGAGCTGTAGTACTCTATAACCTCAACACACTATTGATTTAGTGTTTTTTGTTTGAGAGAGTACAATGTACGATGTACGATAGCTTTATTTGTTTCAGAATTTACAAAAATTACAAATTTTATGATTCGACTATGGATCGAAACAAATATTTCCCAAATCCCCGTTTTGTTTTTTCTTTCGAAAGCTCTATTTCCCCGTGAAGCAACGATGTAAAGGGAAAAAAAAGGCTTATCTCTGAAATGACAATGCGTAATTCTCACTCCCGATTCCCTCTTTGAAAAGACAACGCCCTGCTTACAACTACTCAAAAAAATATTCTGATTTTTTGGAGTTTTCTGTAAAAAGATTACAATGTTATCAGTGTTTATTCGTGTAAAAAAAAAGGAACAGTTAAGGTAATCAAAAAGAATTTATCCGTGATTCACATTACATCGTAGACCATAGCAGGTTGGGTCGAAGGCGACCCGGAACTCCTCACAACCCCACCAACCGGCCTGCAAAAATTATTAATAATTGATTTTCTAATGACCAAGTTTTCTAAAAGTTTCAAAAGTTTTCAGTAACCAATATCTGTACTCAGACATGTTAACACCGCCTCTTTTTTGGTCCGTTTGCCGTTGGCAATCTGTATATTTTGCTCATATCTTAGCCGGGTTTGTTTGAAAAACGTTGAATTTGCTTTCATTTAACTCAAAATCAAATTTTCTATACGAGGGCTAAGATACGAGCAAAATTTGTAGATTGCAAACGGCAAACAGGCCGAAAAAGGACCGGACTCACTTCCGCGGTAGTGCATCCACTTTGGTAGGCGGCATTGAGGCATTGATCGGCTTGATCAACGGCGCTAAATTTTTCAATTATAGAAATTTACATTTACAAAACAAAGAGCTGTTAAGATGACAGGATCTAGTAAATTACTATGAATTAATAGCTAGAGATTTGAACTGGAAATGAATACCATCCATCCCTAATTTCACTCAAACTTTCCCCATGCTTTCCCCTTTTCTAGAGTCTAACGTATCTAGAAATTGTCAAAGAAAGAATTTTTTCTTTATTTATCTTTCTAAAAAACAAACTTGCAAAGTTGACCGGGTTGTTGAGCAGTCTGATTGAAAGTCTGAGCACAAGCAAGCACGCTGTTTGTGGTGGCAAGTGAAGTGAAGCAATAGTAATCCTTCATCACTTCTGAAATCAATTTTTACTGAATGAAGTTCTTTTCACGTGCTCAAAAATACAATCGCGTCCTTTCTACTATACTTGTTTTTTGTCAAAGATCATAAAAGAACTTTAGAAAAGAGGAAGCAAGCGCACCAGAAAGTGTGTTTAGATTTTTGAGCACAAAATGCACCAGCTATTTGGTATTCAATCGCAAATTTCTAACCCTCGAAGCCAGCATTGCACATGAACTGCAATTGCAGATAGATTTGCACATATTCAAAAGCCTAAAAAACTTTCAATTAGTTGTTTTCATTGAAATCATTCAAACCTCATTAAAATCAGCGTTTTTCAGTCGAATCAATCTGTACAAATCCATACAATCATAGTAAGAAGTGCCAAGACATTGATAGAAACGAGTGTTGTCACTAGAAAAGATTTTATATTGAAAATCGGATGAATTCTTACTTGCAAACGGACACCACTTGAGTGACATTTGTGGCGAGCACTTTGTTCAATGCCTGAATTTGTTTGATCTTTGTTTGGATCTTAATTCAGTGCATAGCAAACAACCCTTACCGCAGCTTACCATTACTTACTGTAATTTATTACAATCTTCTTAAAGTCTTACTGTAATTTATTAAGGTAATTTTAAGTTAAGATCTTTCTAAAGTCTTCCTGTAGCTTATACTTGACCAACAGATCACTTTCTGCCTTTTACCAAACAGCAATTGTTTTCCAAAGTGTGAATCTGAAAGGAACTTCACACTTTAGAAATCAAAGATCGTTTGCTAAAATGCAGAAAGTCAACAAATCCTTCCTTACATCGGCGAGCTTGTCCGCTTGTCGCCAAGTGAGTGTCGGGTCGATACCGAGAGCAGCATTGAAGTTGTACTGAAATTTTACAAAGGATATGAAAATCTATGCTTTGATTTTCTTGTAAATATTTAATACTGTAAATACTTAATAATTTTTAACTTATATCTTAAAATGCCCACTTGACAGGCATTCCAATTCGTATCAATGCATGAGGTGACAATGATCGCATCCTCATTCGGTTTTGGAGGAGCCAACATTCCCGGTAGCTTTCTCGACATATCAGCGATCTGAAATGACAATTTTTTTAAATGGAAAATCAATTACCCTACTGTATATTTAAAATTTCACAAAATTTCTTACAAGACTGATATCCTCATCTCTTAAACGGATTTGCCCGCCGGGAAGAAAACCGCTCGCAATGGTTACAACTACCGCCAAAAGAAGAACGGTTTTCATTCCTAAAAAAGGCGATGAATAGTTCTCTTAATTTCTAAAAGTTCTAAAAGACATCTATTATACAAAACTATCGTAATCGTTCATCAATTTTCATTTAATTAGCCCAATTTTGATCGAATTTTTGTCTCATTCTCAAGGCTCAACTAAGGCTCTTTTTGCCGAACGCTCCACAATCCCGAACGAACAAATGGCTACCAAAATTGGGCTCATTTAAATGAAAGCTGACTTTTTGAGTACAATAGTTTTCTAAAAAAGATGAATTTTAGTTAGAAAAATCATTAGTCGTGAGGAGCGCAATGAACAATATTTCATAAAAACAAAACAAAAAATAACCACTTCGAAGGCAAGCTTGAAGCTGAGATGATTGGTTTTTAAAAGAAAAATCAAATCGGTTTTGTCAATTTGTCGGTATTGATTCATTTATTTAAAGTCAGATTTTTGTAGAAAGCTCTCCTTTTCCCAATCCCCCTCCCTTTTCCATATCACTGATCCATAAAATTGGACATTAAAATCTTTGCCACCAAGTTATTGCTTTCTTTTCTTTTCTTTTCCAATCATCTTTTTGTGTTTTTTTTCCCGAATCATGATCTCATTTGTAGTAATTTTTCAAAAAATATTTTAGGGACTTTCAGAAAAAAAAGTTTATTTTTTAAAAAGAAACGAGATGTGATTTTTAGTTTTCTTTGCCCATTCGCTTCTCGATTTGCCGTGCTCGTTTCGCCAAAAAGTTGAGTTTCTCTGGAAATATTTGATATGATTTTGAAATAGTTTTGTTATATTTTATAATGATATAATGATATAATGATATATTTTTTAAATGAATCTAATTTTTAACCGCTCGAAATGTGTTGAGTATGCGCGAGTCGCTCCGAGTGAGTCATGGGCTTTTTGTCGGAGGATGAGGGGTCGGTCTGGAATTGCAATTGAAATGAATGTACTAGTTGAACTTGTAATTTTCTTAAAGTTTTGATTTATTAATATTGTTATATAAAATTTAACGTATCAACGAGTTCCACAAGATCTCCGAAGGTGCTGAAGGTTCACTCTAAAGCTTTGCTGAGCAAACTTAAGATATTCCGTCAAATTTAGCTGCATTTTATGTAGCTGGACATACTTATTATAAAAAGGATAATAATTCTAATAAGGTAGCTCACCAAAGATGCGAAGAAATGGTGAAACTCGCAGACATTCACCGGACAAGATTGATCGAGATTCAGCGAGATCCGCACTCGTTCGCACTCCCACCATGAAGCCTAAAACAATTAGAATAATAAAAAAGTAGTTAAAGAAATATTACAATCATTGACAGATCTGTAAGTACAGGGTGTTCAATATAAATGTATTCAATATTCAATATTCAATATAATTCAATATACAGGGTGCGGCCAAAATATCCGGCGGAACGTACTTTTTGCCATAATACTGCGAAAACTCATTTATTCACGCTTCTTTTTATGTTTATGCATTTTTTTATTCTTTTTTATATGTTTCAATTATTTTTTTTGATAAATAAGTGATTTAGAAATGAAGCTGGGAAAAAGGAGGAAACTTTGAGATTTAACTGTTTTTATTTTGTTATTTGGACTGTTGTTGTTATTTTCAGTAAAATTCTATAAAGCTTTTCTGCTAATTTTCTGAAGACCAGTCGGTCTTTTCATCGCCGGATATTTTGGCCGCACCCTGTAATAAAGGAAACTTTTAAGTTTGAAGATTGTTTATGAAAAAAAATCATTAAGAAAGCATTGAATTACCGAGTTGGGATAGAATATGACATGCTTACTTGCTGTTTACTCAATTTGTTATGCAAAAAATCGATTCATTAAAACTCGATCATTAAATTACCTGAAGGAGTCATGGTAAATACTGTAATAGAAGGCAACCCCCGTACAATCGCGTAGTCGATACTCTTTTCGAAAAATCATGTCTTTCCAGCCACTTTTGGCATCAAAAAATACAAGATTTCAAGGGCTATCGTTTGAGACCAAAGCGCATATTGTAGAATGCGGAGAAATGAGCGTTCAAAGTTTGGTTACGCAACTGTACGGCGTAGTTATGAGGGTGCCTTTCTATTACAGTATTTACGGTAGTTTTTCTTGTTTAATGATAAGAAAATCTTCACTATTTACTAGTTTTTAAATTTATGAGACATTAAAATATTGAAATCATATTTCAGTTTTGATTTTTTCAAGAAAACTTAACATAAGTTTGTGACAAAATCCATGTTTTGTCTACTTTCCACGACAGTTTCTAGACAAACATCAACGCGAAAGGCAATAATTTCGAAGAAAAAGTGACTTAAACTTTTAAAAATATATGTGTTTGATATGTTTTTTCTTTTTAACATTAGATTTGTATAAAAAAAGTTTTAAACCTAGTGATCTATTGGTTATAGATATTGAAAACCCTGTATTTTTGAGAAATCCTTACATCAGCTCCACACTTGAGATAGTATGGAGCACGAGCACAGTTGGTGAAGTCCACCGACGCTGGGCAAGTCAATGATGGATCCTAAAGTGTGTTTAAATAAAGCGCAAAAAATATTGATGACTTTATCAGCATTATAGCTGGCTTTACTGTATTCAATCTTCTACCTGTGTTGTGATATTTTGGAATGTTTGTTTGCATTGTGCATAGGTATCCTCTCCGAGCTTGTTCATTGCACGAAGACAATTCCATTGCGAGATCGTTTCTAAATGACTTTGATTTAGAGATTTTGTCCAATTGTCAATAGGGGTACAATAGAAAGGGATTTGAACACTTCAGAATTTGCTTGCTTTTGGCTCAATCTTTTGGTTTGAAAATCCCTGAAAAAGTAGCTGCTGAAGTGGTCTAATCTCGTTTTTTCGTTGTATATGTCGTAGCCGATTATGAATGAGTGGGTCTAGGAGCGCTCCAACCATCAAGTATTTGGTATCATTCAACGCAGAATCATTAATAATTATGTTAAATTTTTAAAATTAGAAAGATTGGATAAAAAGAAAAAAAATTATGGGGCCTCAAAGTTTCCTCTTGAACAAACAGTTTTTTTGCTCTAATTTTTTTTCTTTTTATCAAATCTTTCTAATTTTAAAAATTTAACATAATTATTAATGATTCTGCGTTGAATGATACCAAATACTTGATGGTTGGACGCTCCTAGACCCACTCATTCATAATCGGCTACGGGGGTCCCGCCGATTTTGAATGAAACGTTGTAGCGCCGGTAATTTTTAACCTAAACTCACAAATTTGGTACCAATCGACGCAGAATTTAATTCTCTACAGGATGATATAATATTGTCCTCATACATTAAAGGGTTACTCTACTAGAAAGATTTACCAAAAAATTTCATTCATAATCGGCTACGACATATACCTATTGAAAATCGGGCTAAAAATGAACAGACCTAAGTTTGACTAGTCTGATTTCAATAAAATAATTGTAAAAAACGAAACGCAAAAATCCTCCATTGCACGTGAATTCGAGTTCTCTCATCGTTCCAATGTAGGTCCACGCGTCGGCGAGGCTGATTCCGTTCGACAAGAATTTTGTGGGCTGCAGGCAAGCTCTGGAAAAGAAAGATTTAGGGAAAGAAGCATTAATTAGAAGCCCGCCTTTTTTATGACCTACGTGTATGAATCTCCGAGACATTGTTGGAACATTGTACGAGCATAGCACAGTTGAAGTACTCCGTCGACTCCCTGAAAACAAAAGTTTCGGAACTTCTGTCTAGCTCTATTGCATTGAAATTCACTGTGTTTTGTTGCATTCAATAGAGAATTAAATCTTCTATCGAATGAAATCAAGCAGACTAAACTAGAGAGCATTCAATTGACATCGATTGTCGGTCTTGATAGTCTTGAAATTGTTAGATTGTCGGTCGTCGGCCTCTCCACCTTGAAACACAGTATCCTGTCAGATCTGCCAAGTTAAACAACTTCGGGCTCAGTTAGTCTCTGGTTCAAATCCATGAGATGAGCCAGGGGTCCTTCCTGATCCGAGTGCTTCCCCGCCCGACTTTGGTTAGATGGGTAGACTAGTAAAGGCGCTAGTTCTGTAAAGCGGATAGCCTTCGCTGTCGCTTTCTCTTCACCGCCAGAGCAGGCTATGAAGGCACCGTCCATTAAAAGTAGGGTTAAGGAGCCGTCCGTGCAAGGAAGGCCTGAGTTAAGTTAAGATTTAGCCTAGTACTGTGGTAAATTTTGTAATAAACCCACCACTGGTAACCGATTGGTATATATCTAAAGGTTACCTTGTCATAAAAAGTGTCAAGCACATGAATGAGCTTCGCGGGGTCCGACCAATCGGCATTGTCGGTGATGTTCAAATACCAGTTGAAGCTCGACTAGAAGGAAAATGAAGAGTATATTCTGATTTTGAAAATGATTTCAAAAGATTCTGTGATTCTGTTTTCGATAATCATTTTGTAAAACTAGAAATCCCCAAACCTGGCACTGGGCAAGCTGTTTGTCAATACACGCAGCAGCGAGTCTTTCATTGGTATTCGCCTCGAGGAATGCTTCAGGTAAAGTGGCCGGCTCAAGAAAAGTGACCGAATCCGATCCACACAAAGCCAATTGAATCACTAAAAAAAATGGGAACGAATTTAAGACAAATCTGAGTCTTCTAAAGGCGGCAAAAGCTAGCTGAAAGCGTTGAAACACTTGTTGTTTCAACCTAAAGTGCCAGTTGAAACAGTCATTTGTCTAACAAAGCAATAAAAACCTTGGTAAATGAGCTGAATATCTAGAAACTCATTATAAAACCATTTTCCTTAGCCAAAGCTTTTAAGTACAAAGAGTTTGAAGAGTATATTGTTAGAATTATCGTAATAAGTTCTATTGGGTCCCTAGGAGTTCGTATGCATGCTTACGGGGCCTACTGTAAGTGATATGTTGGATACAAGCGTTAGTACAGTGCTTTTGGCAGTACGATACTCACAGATACTCACAGTAATCGATAATCACAAACCTGCGAGTAAAAGAAACACCTTCATGGTCTACTTCGAGGTTACACCCAAAAGTCGAAGGAGGGAAGAAGACACCTCGTAAATTATCAGTTTCCCCTCCAATCCCCCCTTTTTCTTTCTTTACTCACGGATTGTGCCACGATTCAAACTGGCTACTGATATCACTCACTGACAAAATCATTCCCTGGAAACACCCATTGACACCTTTGTAAGCTTCAAAGCTTGAGGGATTTGTAGAAATTAAAATTCTGTAGTACCAAAAATCTTATTACTGATGGGTAAACTGATTTTAGTATAGTTTTGTACTTTAAAATACTTGCTTCTCTGCTTTAAAATACACTGTAAGACTTGCTTCTTAACTCTTTGTACTTTCGTTTTCTGCAAATTTTTTTTTGCAAAAAAACAAAGTCTAAGTCGTTATACCAAAAGACACTCCAACCAACAATTAAAAAAAAGGAGACACCGGAATTATAGCGATTGGGCGCTTTTATGATTGCAGATAGCCACCAACCAAAAAAAAAAAGACCGGGAACAACGTTTGAACCTTTTCGACAACTTCATTTTGATCAAAACCGTCCCTTGGAATGATCAAATCCGTTATTCTCATTGGGATTGCCCTGTTTGAATTGGTGGCCGCACAATGCCCGGCCAATTACTTCTACGTTGATCCCCTAAAGTCGTGTGTTTCGTTTAACACTGGAGGTATGTGATTTTGTGACACTGGAATAGCCTGTGATTTTGTGTGATTTTGTGACACTGGAATAGAACGACTGCTGAAACGATGCACTTTAAAGTTGAAAAACCTAAATGTTAAAAAAATAGATTTAATTTCAAGAATTCAAATTCAAATCACAACAGGCAGTACTTCCTTGTTCGCCGATGCCGAGACTGCGTGCCAAAAAGCTGGCGGTCATCTCGCGTCGGTTCACAACGCTTTTGAGAACTCGTTGGTTGCCTCGTATGCCAGGAGTCGTGAGTTTTTGATTGATAAAAACTTTCAAACCAATCATTTTCAGGTGTTACCACGGACAAATTCTATGTGGGACTCTCGAGGAAGACCCAAGTGACACAAGATTGGGACTGGACTGATGCCTCTGTTTACGATTACAGGAATTGGTTGAATGGAAGTGAGTAAACAATGAATTGTATTGCTTACTATTAGAGCATAGTGGCAATACCTGTGCCTAGCTTCTGACTGGTTTTATGTAGTAAGGTTAGACTAGGTTAGGGTCAAGGCGGATAGGGTGAAAACTGAGCTGGAACAGTTTTTGGTGCAAGTGCTAGGCGGTAGTTGTATTAGGCTTATCGTTAGTATGTGAAGTGATGAATAAACCAAGCCTTTGATCATTTTCTAGATCCAAATGGAACCGGTCTATGCGCAGTGGTCGATATCAACAATCAAATGTGGACGGATGTCGATTGCACCCAAGAATACGATTATGCTTGCTCGATCCCTTTCGGTTTCGTCAAGCAGTTTCTGAAAACAAAAAATTTTGCAGGCTGTCCCGACGGATACTCACTCTTCAACTACACCAACATGTGCTATTACGTAAAAAAAAAGAAAATGGGCATTGATCATAGAAATTTAGAAAGGAAACGGTGGAAACTATGCGAATGCCCAAAATACTTGTCACTCCGTCAAAGGTGAATTGGCATCGATTCACTCAGTGGAAGAACAGAATTTCGTCTCAAGTTAGTTAAATTTACAATTAGATTTCAATTTAATATCAGCAAGAACTTGAAAATTCTTAGATTTGGTCTTCTCACGATGTGGCACTGGTCCACACGGGGGAAAACTGGGAGAAACGCTGCTTGGAGGAGTATTCAATAAAGGACGTGAGAAATGAAGAGATATGAATGGATTAGATAAATAATATTTAGAGGGAGTTGAATGGGCCGATAAATCCCAATCGGACTATACGTTTAACCTTTGTGGACACACGGACGCCAAGGGGAGCACCGTTGTGGTGAGTGTGTAAGGCATAAAGCTCTATCCTGGTGGCAACGGATACGCGGATCTAGCTCATTGGTAGAGCGTCCGCCCGGTAAGGTCGTTCCTGAGGGGTCGCGGATTCGAGCCCCGGCATCCTAGATTTAGATTCCCAGCCATAAAAGGATCGGCTTCTCCAAATAGTGGACTTGCTAGGGATGTTCCAGCTGGCCCGCCTCTCTAGGATCCGCTTCTCCAGTCATCCGATTCACTTTTGAAACTCCTAGGAACCAGGAGTTCCGGTCCAGGACCAGGCTTGCAGTAAAACCTGAGTCCAGGCCAGAAGGACTTGGCTTGGCTTCTAGCCTGAACCTGGACTAGTAAGCCAAGTAGCCAAGCCAAGAAGTAGGACTTGTAAGCCAGACCAGTCCAGACAAGGCAAAGACTTGGCTTCTGATCTGACATTGCTTAAACCGAAAATGCTTTTGAGACAATTGGCTTTCAGAGTATCGATAAAAACACGAAACTTTTCTTCCAATTTTGGCAACTGAATACTTTGAAGTGTCCCCTAATCTCTGACTTGAGAAAATGAACAAAATGTGAGTAAAAATCTAGAAGATTCTTTTTTCAGATGGCCGCTCATCAAAAGGGAAGTGGTTGTGGATCGTGCTATGATTCGAGCTGGTACATTTCAAGTTGGTGGTCAATTTTCAAGTTGAAAATATAATTTATCAGCTAAGTTAGAATATTATAAACAAACTAACTATAAAGCTAAGCTTCAAATTTTTGTCGAGCAGTTCTCCAAAATTTAGACGAGAGCCCAACGAACAACGGCGCCACTTACGAGGCTTTTGTCTGTAAAACAACTCCATATGGACATTAATTGAAAAGATTTATTGGAATAAAAATGAAAAAAAAAGTTCACACAAACAAACAAAAAAACTTTCTTTTTTAACTTAATCACCGAGATTTCTGAGTAAAAACAAGGCACAAAAGGTGAGTTAAACGAATCGGAGATAGAAAAAGCTCTAAGGTAAATCTTCTAAAAGGCAAGTGAATAACGATAAAAGAAAAGATAGTTTTCCTTTAGTAGTTTCGACAAATGCTCTAAATTTTGGGATAAATTTCATTTTTTTTATGGCCAACCTCTACAACGAAGTTATTGTTGTACTGTCGATTGACATCTTGAAATCGGATGTCCCGCCCTGGCAGCATCTGAAAGGAAGATTTGATGGGGAGTGTAGGGAGTAGCGGGATTCGGCTTTGGTCACACTGTCTGACACATCTAGCCCATGTTTTCAACGAAGAGTGGCGTCAAGGGGGTTGAACCCGGTTAGTCCCTCTACATAATATCTCACAAAAGAGAACACCTATGTACCGGGGAGCTGTGCCAGACGACGAGCGATTACCCGGTCGCACAAAGAGCACCTAGCACCCTTTTACTTGGGGCTTTCTTTTGCCTTGTAGATAGTACAAAAAAAGATATTCAGCTGTAAATTTGTACCCGGGGGTTTTCGGGGTTGGGGAATCGATTGGAAATTTCCATTTTATTAGATCTAAGCTTTAGTAAGTCATTTTTGATTCGACCTCAACGGTTCTCGTGAAATGACTTCCCGACCCAGGCCCATCATTGGTCATCTCATCCAAATCACCCCGCCACGATCGCTCCGATTTCTCGTCAACAACCTGAGAGTTAAAAGGAGTTACCGGCTGACTAAAACTTTGTCAAAAGCTTAAAAATCAACTAAACTAATCGAATATGAACCTTGAGAATCTAAATGTATATGCTCTTACCCGTCCATTGTGATCTCTCCATTTCCAGTTGTCCTCAGTCGTCTTTTCGGAGATTCCTGAAAAGTTTGACTTGTCGTTTATTCAAACAATGCAACTTTTGAGCTTCGTCGTGACAAGATCTCCATTTCGATCATAATATGACATTGTCGAGTCTCCATTCAGCCAATAATCCTTACTGATATCCATCGGTGTCGTATTTGATGGTGGAGGCCAGCCACGAATCCGGGAGTTTACCTAGAAAAATCAGGGTTTTCAAAATGATTTTAAAACTCACATTCGCTCCTCCAAGATGGAAAGTGTCACTGAAAGCGGTGCTCTCTCGTGTCTGAGGTCCGGTTGTTCGTGATCGGCTTGATCTCTGCCGCAAGCCACCGTCATCACTGAAAATTGGGTTTAACTATCACATATCAAGGCTTTTTCCTAATCATTCAGCTACTTGCAGGCTTAGGGATAAATAAGTCAAGTTCAGTATGGTATTAGCTTTCCAAATACGAACTACCCTGCAATCGGAATTCGGCTCAGCACTCCTGCTCTATAGCTAGAATAGAAAATTTGTATTTGGTGCAAGTTTTTAATGTGTAAGTCTAGGCCAAGCCCAGCCCACAAATAAGCACTCAAGCCATCCAAAATCCCAACTAAAAGAACCATCGAAAAACCTGGTTTGGCCTAAGCTGAACTCGATCATTTTTTTAGCTTTTAATATAGAATTTTTTTCCTTACCTCATATATCCATTAGCATAATTGACATATGGCGTCTCAAACGGGGCCGTTGATCCAGCTGGAGTCACTGGTCTTGAAACGGACATTGATCTGAAGGAGTTCATTTGCGCATTCATTATTTGCCCCTTCAACTCTAACTCACCGCCTATTGATCGTATTTCTCATTCGCTCAGCTTCGGGAATCGGTCTATAAACACTGTGCCCCATCAAGTATCCATTTAAATCAACTGAAGCTTTAATCTCATTCTGAAAGCGAGCCAAACAACGTACAATTGTTTTCCTGGTTGAAGCTAGCCGGTGCTTTGGCTCTGAAGATAAATTGCGGTTCGTCGTTGGTCGAATTCTCGATTCGACTCACAACCTGAAAAGTTTTCTACTCATAAAATTTCATGGTTAAATTCACGGTTGGTCCAACGGATTTCGCGCGAGACGTGTGATTGTACGAGGCTCGCTCGGGCTCAAATGCGGACACTGGTCTCCAAACCTCAAAACCTGGCTTAAATTGATGCTCAACTGGGTTACTGTAGTGGTTAAGTGTCTTATAATAGCGTTTGACTGCTGTCAGAGAATATATAGTTACTTTTGGTAAAGATTTTGCAATAAAAGAACAAACCTGCGGTGGCATTGATGATTCTCGCTTCACTTTCGTTTCCTGGTTTTCCTAAAAGAATTTGAAATCAGCGATTAAATCGAGATCGATATTCAGTTAATACTTGACTTAAGAATTGCAAAAAAAAAGTATTAAAGTTGGTGGAAAAGTTTGCCCTCTCATTGCCCTTCTACAAACTACAATTGTACTGTACAATTCAAAACTGCAATAAGTTATTTCTGAAGAACTGAAAAACTTAGATCCTTTGATTTCTAAAGGAAAAAAAAATAAAAAAGTTAAAATTTCAATAAAAAATCCTAAGAGTCGCACTACGGGGACCGAACCCGGATCGTGTGAGTCGTAGAAAAAGACACCTCCGAATGCGCCGCGGCCACTACCTGCACGGTCCCAAAACATTCGATTAAAAGCCATTAGGCGGATTTTTCGGCTGGTTTTATTATTTCAAAACCAACCACGCGTCGCTCAAACGACACCGGAGTTTTTCGTCCCTCAAAAGGAACGGGTGTCTTCGAGTTCGCCTCGCGTACTCTCTCCGTCACCGTAGCCGATTTCCCTCTCTCAGTTCGTTCACCAAAAGTTTCAACTAAATGAAAAAAAGTCAAATTTCATGTTATCTAAATCTTCACCAGAAGCGGCCATTTGTTCAAGAACCGATACGGGCAACATTGGCACAGCTCCTTTCACATTCCCACCAACCGGTGAGGTCGCTGATTTCCGCTCTTCAGCCACCGGAGTTTTTCTGGAATAAGTGAAAACGCTATTTGGGTGATAACAGCTTTAACATCTTAAGTACAAAGAAACTTCTGATCTGCATTGAGAGTTGGCACATCAAATGTAAAATAGGCATTAGTCGTATCAAGTACTTGGCTTATCTAGACTGATATTTTCGAAATTTACATAAACATTTGACTTCTGGCATACTCAATTCTCTACTTTTAAAGGTTTAACGGCCATTTGATCTCGTTAATTCTCGATTAGTCTCGGTAAGTTAAGTCTACCAGTATCTAGTTGAAACGAGCGTATTTCTTCCTTAACTTCCAGACCTAATGTAGTTTACTATTTTCTTACATTAGCTAACAAAACTTAAAGACAACCTTCCAGGGATTACTGGAATCTTCCCAGATTTAGGCATTGGTGGAGGAGGGGGTGGTGGAGGAGGCGGTTGAGATGCCTCTCGTCCCTCGCCTCTCACTCCATCTCCATATGTCCGTTGTGAATAGAATCCGCCCTCAATCGCCGGTCCAATCGATCCTTCTCTCGTTGTTCGAATGTTAGTTGTCGTTTCGTTCTATTTCTTTTAATAATTCGATATTTCTATTCCTTTTACCGTTGCTTCGCTTCGTGATGGTCCGATTCCTCCGATTCGCGTTGTGTATTGGGATAAGTCGATGTTTGGCTGCTTAAAAGGTACGGTAATGTTTTCAAATTCTGTACATTGTATGCGAAATATCTTTAAAAACAGTGTTTAAACAAGCCAAATCACCTGAATATAGGAGATTCTAGCTGCTGCGCCGTCATTTCCCTGATAAGCCTTTGTCGTCTCCTAGATTGGATCAATTATACAATTCATTTAAAAGCTAAAACTTCATGAAATTCGACATGCATTGGTGGCTTTGAAGGGACATTCGGTGCTGGAGTTTTTGTTTTGTTTTCAATGTTATAGGTTTCAATAGGAATTGGCGGTGGAGAGGAGGGGAGGGATTTCTTTGACTCATGCTCATTCTCTTCTTTCTCCTGAAAGAGAACAAATTACGGTAGCTTTGGCACGCTTTGGAAAATGGATTTTATGTGAAATGAACTACTCTGCTAAATAAAAAAGTGCTAAATCCCGTTACGGCGCACCGGGTGGGCCGTATTGTCGCGAATGTATTAAAAAGTGCTACCGTAAACTCAATATTGTTTAAAAGATGCTTTAGTTCAAGTTCAAACATAGCTTACCTCATCCTGAGCCTCAGTGACTTTCAAAGATGGGGTGATCGGGCGGGGTGGTGGAATTGGTGGAAGTCTAGGTAATGGGATAAAGAAATGCACGGTTTAAATAGATGAAGACAAGTCTAAGATAAAGATAAAAGCTAAATCTAATTTTGTAATGTAATGTCAATCTTTAGAACTAGTCAGAAAATAACTATGAAATCTAGGCAAACCTTGGATTAGTTTGTTGTACCGGTGGCAACTCTTTGAAGCTCAACTCTTCGCTCATCGATCGCTCATCCGAATCGAAATGAACTGGTCGGAAGCCGGCTCTAAAATTCGCAAAAATAAAATCCTTGATTCGATTTTTCATACGGATATGCAGGTGGAGGCAACTCTTGTTCAGGAATCGCCGTGAAAAGGACCGTTTTGAAGAACGGGACGGCATTTCCACACTTTCGGCTCAACCAATTCCAAAAATCCTTCACTTTTGTCCACACCCACGAGAAACCTTTCTAAGATGATTTGATTAAAATCAACTCAATCAAAAAAAATCAAACAAATGAAAATGAACTCTCTGTTTCACCTTCACTCCGCCCCACACTTTCCCCGCCGCTTTCGAAACGGATGACCAGGCTTTTGAGAACCAATCTAAATATTGAATCTGTTTTTTAATCTTCGATATTGGGATACTGATTGTAAATACTTGTAAAGCGTTAGGTAGAGCCTTTTCCTTAAAAAAGTGTTAAGCCAACCAAAAACCTAGACTTGTCTTGAAACTGTTTTGGCCTAGGCTATCTAGCCTAACTATTCCTGGCTCTGATCTGGCCTAAATCTGACCTGTTTTGAACCTAAAAATAGCTTCTAGACTGTTCTGGCTTGACCCTGGCGTGAATCTGATTCTGGGCACCAGCCTGCCTGACTCAGGTTAAGTCACCTGACCTAGATTAAACCTGGCTCTGACCTTTAAGCTGGAATAACCCTGCACATTCACTCCAAGTTTGCATTCCTTTCCTTTAATAGAACGAGAGATTGTTCCAAAATTAGATTAGCATTAAACACCAACCTTTGACCGTGGTCGCTGCTCCTCTGCCATGTTCTTGTGATCGGAGGTCAATATTTTTTCTTCTGTGCTCAAAGCAATCTTGACTTGGCTGACAATCGACACAGCAAATCTTTTGCCGAATTTTCTCCATTTCTTTCTCTCGTTCTCGTTCACATTTCCATTCGGGATTTCCCCTGAAAATAAGTAAAGATAATTTGAAATTTGTTTCGTTTTTTGTTTCACCCAGATTCGAATTCAAAATTTTTAATTTCTAGTAAATCAAGTGAAAAATAATATAATGATTTTTTTTTTCATGATTTTACCTTACAGGGGAACACCCCCGCCCTCATCTTGGGGGGAGGTCTTATGCGTCAATCAACTCGTTAATGATTTTTTAACAAAAATCTAAAATCAAGAAGTATTTTCAAAGTCTCAGTCAATTCAGTTTCCCATATTTTTCACCATTTTTATGACAAGTGCTTAGTTTTTTGAAGGAAAAACGAAAAATGTGGTCACAGATTGTCTCTCGTCATCATCAATGATCTCGAGATGCCTCGTGAAATGCATAAAAATGAGAGAAAGGGTCGAAGGAGGGCAAAGGAAGCTCGTCTAACGAGGAATCCCAGTCTTTTCAGTCTTTTCCCCTATTCTAAAGTCTCTTTACTTTAGTTTTGAAAAGGCTATGGGGGAAAGGGGCATGTGCTCGTCTTTCGTTCATCCCAGAGGGGGATTCGAGAACGAGATTTCTTCTTCTCCTGCCTTTCTTTTTTTCATCACATCTCCACCTTTTCGTCAATTCGTATCTTTTCGTTTTCTCTCACTCCGCCTAATTTAATGAAAGCGCGAGCATCAAACATACATTTTGAAGGGAAAAAAGAGGGGAAGAAAAGAAAGAACATAGGTCCCCAAGAAGGCTTTGGAGATGTGCACACGTGTGGAGGGGGTGCTCAAGCGCTTCCCTCTTGCTTTCTCCCATTCAATTTCATCTTATCCACCCCATCCACCTACATCAATCTATCCTCTTTCTCATCCATCATTTCCAGTTTTCAATTCAGTGAATTTTTCAGTTCATTCATCGATAGATTTACAGGAAAAATTGACGTCTTAAGTCGACGACCTTTTCAAACATTTTTTACCGTTGGATAGCACAAAGCTACCGTAAATACTGTAATAGTACCCCATCCCCATAATGACGGTGCGGAGCGTTGGGTAGTCTAGCTTTGGACGAGTTTTTCTCGACACTGGTTTCTGCTACAATGCGCGCTCAGATCTCAAAAAATAGCCCTGAATTTCAGCTATTTTTTGATACCAAAGACGCATTTTTTGAAAGTACGGGCGCTTTGAAAAAAATGAAATACTAAAAAACTTTTGCGACTACGCGACTGTACGAGGAGGGTGGAGTACTATTACAGTATTTACGGTATATCTAATGATGAAAAAAACGTTTGAAAAAGAATAGACTGAAAATGAACATGCCTAATTTTTATGTTTTCCATCCAGTCCATCATTCTATTCAATTTGTCATGTCAATGATTGCATTTGTCAATGAACATGATAAATTAGCAATTATCAAAAACATTGCATTTAAATCAGAAGCCAAATGGGCTAGATAAAGAACTCTTTTCTTAACAAACAGCTGGGCACTTTCCCTCAATCAATGATAGAACTTTTGTTCTATCATAGATCTATTTATTGTATATTTATTGTATTTAAGTGACCTTTAAAATTATGGTTTAAGGTTTAAAATTAACCTTTAAAAGTGAACATGTAAAGCGTTGATCAAAAAAGAAATCAATTCCCTAAAATCTTGAGATGTGTGAAGGGGTGCTGAAGCCCTTCCCTCTTGCTTTCTTTCATTCCATTCCATTCCATTTCATCTGAATCCACCCTATCCACCTACATCAATCGACCCTCATTCCCCTCTCTTTTCACATTCCATCATTTTTTTTCCATCTCAATTCAATTCCCCTTTTTCTTGTCAAACAACTTTATGGTTGAGTTGATTGGATAGGGATCTTCAAAGGCTCAACCAGTTCAACTACATGACTTCTACCCTGTTTCTTAGGTTTAAGTTCAAGTAAAGCTTTTGCTCTTGTCGACTCAATATAAAATATTGTCAATAGTGTCAATAGTCAATAGTCAATAGACAATAGCAAATAGTCAATAGTAAATAGAATAATGTCAATCAATTCACCGCCCAATACAAATCAATATCAATTCAATCAATTTTTCATCTCAAATCTGGCTTTCATTTTCAAAAGCAAGATATTTGATTAAATTGCTTCTTAAATCAAATGACTTTTCCGTTAAAATTGTGAGAGTTTTCTAAAAGATTCCTTTTAATCTTTTAGAAAATACAGCTCTATCCGTACAGCTCTATTTTTGTCTAATCTCTATTATCTACTCATTTGTGCATAAAATAAAAAAAAAGAGTGAAAGGATGGGCATTTTCAATAAGGACATCCAAATACGAGATGGGGAAAGGGTCCAAATTGAAAAGAATTGAAAAGAAGAGGATATTGGGATCCCCTTTCTCATCTTCTTCTCCTTTTATTTTCACTCATCCCTCAAATTATTTTCTCTTTTCTTTTATTTGAGATCTAATTAATTGGGTCTGTCATGTTTATGTTCGATTCTGAAAAGAGGACGAAGATCGAGATGAGAGGAAAAATGTGGATGAGACGAGTTTGGAGATCTGTTTTCCCTAATTAGGAGATTCTCTTCTCTCACAAAAAACTTTGCACGCATTTTGTTTGGCTTTTGTACAATCGACTGTATCTGTGTGAAAACGTTTGGCCTTTATTTCGATTTCGAGAATAACTTGACACACTTTTTTCGGCTGTATGTGGAATGAATTTGACTGTTTTTGACTTGACTTGACTTGAATTGACTTGACCTGATTTGACTTGACTTGACTTGACTTGAATTTGACTCTATTACGTAGAACGTTGCAATTCAGATTTCACTCAATGCTCAGTTTTAGCATTTAAATTTTTGCTATTCCCAATTCATCCTGACTTTGTTACTTTTATTTTAAAAAAAACAAAAACGATAGGTTCTAGTATAGAAATGGTTTCTAATCACTTACCGTAAATACTGTAATAGTACCCCACCCTCCTCGTACAGTCGCGTAGTCGCAAAAGTTTTTTAGTATTTCATTTTTTTTCAAAGCGCCCGTACTTTCAAAAAAATGCGTCTTTGGTATCAAAAAATAGCTGAAATTCAGGGCTATTTTTTGATACCTAAGCGCGCATTGTAGCATAAAACAGTGTCGAGAAAAACTCGTCCAAAGCTAGACTACCCAACGCTCCGCATCGTCATTATGGGGATGGGGTACTATTACAGTATTTACGGTAGATCTAAAATATTTCTGGACGCATCTCAAATTATCCGATTCTATTCAAAAACCATTTCTAAAACGTGTCAACTTTTGAAAACTACCGTCTTGGCTCGAGTTGTTCAATCTTTTTTTAATCTGATTCTTCTAGGGTTCACGAGAAGAACACCAAAAAAATACAATAAATAAAGAGATTGGATAAAGCCAAAGGCAAGATTACAGTAGTTTGTCGATAATTGACACGTTTTAGGAAAGCAATGATCAAGATGAACGAACAAAAAGACTGGGGAAAAGGGGGGGGGGCTTAATGCCGGAGCAGCTTATCGAAAATTGTCCGAAAAGTGAAAGAATTCAATTAGTTTATGTAGTTGTTAGTATCGGCATCTAGTTTGGTAACTTATCAAAACTAATAAGATCTAGTTCATGCCAATCTATAAGGGTTAAATGAGATGGAATGGGCTGTGAATGGATGGATTCAAGGGGATTCGATTTCCCGCTTTCAATTCCTTCAATTCCCTCAATTCCCATCTTCTCCTTTCCTTTATCCAACTCTCTCCATATTCCGTTCTCCACCTCTTCTCCATTTTTCTGAAGACTCGAGTATTTATAGCCCTTTTTGCACCTCTTCCTTGCAAGAAATTCAGAAATTCTTCAAAACTCCCACACAAGTTTCTTCTTGAAATATGCAAATTTTATGTTTTTCCACAAAACATCAAAATAAAGATTTGATTTAACTTTATATCTTTTCATCTTTTAAGCAATTTTAACCCATTACCCTTTCTTGAAGCCGATGCTGACCCTTCGAAGGTAATTCAATGCAATCAATAATCTCTCAATTCCGCATCGGAAAAGTTTCCGCATCTGTTTCATTTTTGCCGAATATTCCAACTGGACAGCAAAACCGGATTAGAAAAAGCACAAATTTCTTAAAGATACTGTAAAATCTCTGTACAATATTTCTATAGCTAGAGTATCCCAGAATTTAAGTATTTATTTATATGTCAAAATTGGATATGTTTAAAACTCTTGAATTAAACCTAGCTACAAGCATTTAGTCTTAAACCCTGCATACTTTGTACTGTACCGGGACAGGAATTGAAATTTCTTGAACCCTATGCTGACCCTTCTAAGGCAATTCAATGCAATTAGCGGAAAAGTTTCCGCAACTGTTTCATTTTTGTCAAATATTCTAACTGGACAGCAAAACCGGATCTAAGGCGTTTTCAATTTTATAACGAATCTAGATTTTGCACAAAACATCAAAAGGAAGATTTACTTTTAACTTTATAGATATCTTTATAGATATTTATAGATATTTAAAAAGATTCTTAGATATCTAGATTGGCGTAATTTTTTTTATTCTTATTATTCTCAATTTCCCCAATGATTTATTTACGGTGAGTGCGAAAGTTTGTGCAAATTTCCCAACAATTTCCCAACAACTTTTTTGTGTGGCTTACAAGAAAGAAACAAGAAAAAAGGGGCAGCAAATTTTCACAAAGAATGCTGTAATGTGGGTAAGTCGGCTAAGAAGGCATTTTGTGAGGAAGAAAGATCGAGTTGTTGAGAGAAGGAAAGGGGGAAATGGGGTTTTGTTTCTCGAGCTTGAGTGTCAGAAACCGGGAAATGTGAGCACCTTGATGGGAAAACAAATTTATAGCATAATTTGTAGTATCTCTAAAGACATCTAACTTGATATAAGGCCAAGCCTTTCAGAAAGCCATAGCCCAAGAAGTCCTAAGCCATATTCCAAGAAATTTCCGTTAATTAATCCTATTAGGTATACGCATTTATAATTGTAAAATGCGAATTAT